CCAGTCTTTCATGTGTCTCAATTAAAACTCTATCGTGGTAACCATGATCAATCTTGTGTACCTTTACCAATATGTGATACCGAGATTCCTCCAGTGGTTCAACCAGTTGTTGTCCTAAAGTCACGTGTACTTCTTCAAGGAAACCAATAGATTCAACAATTTTTGGTTCAGTGGGAAGATGGCTCTCCAAATACTGCTACTTGAGAAGGTAATGCTGTGTTTTTGAAAACATATCCTCATTTCAACCTTGAGGACAAGGTCGATTTTGATGGGAGGAGAATTGTAAGGAATGAGCCTGAAAATGTTGAGAAAGAGGAGGAGCATGAAGGGCCAAGTGAGAATAGCAAGGCAAGACACATGACAGTTGGCACAAAAGGCATGGTGAGGAAAAGCGCGCGATCCAAGCAAGAGAGCAAACGGTTGAAGGATTTCATGTGGGCTAGCTACTAGTATAAATATCGTAACTATTAAGAGAGAGAGGGTGGATGGTTTAATTAGAACTTTTCTCTCTCTAGTTCAATTTTTCTGTCCCAATTGGCACTCCTCTGAGCAAGGGCCATTGTTATTGTTCTTTTTTGTCACTTGTTGCTGCATTTTCGGAACATTGTCTTGTATTTCAAATAAAATTGCCATTATTAAGACTTTGCTGGTTCATTAATCCCTATTATTCTTTCCCTCTTGAGTTGCTTCATTACAATATATATATATATAGTTTTATTATGGCTGCCATGTGTTCGCTATAATTTTATGGCAGTTTTTTGGCTTTTTGCCATGACTCACCATCTACCCTTGATAAAATGTTGCTTATAATATATTTTATTAAGATATAATCTCTACTTTTTAACGAATTATTGTTTTTAGTTTTTTTAGTTGATGTGGTTTAACCAAAAGTTAACACTTGGCAGTATCTCAATAGACCATGTCTTAACAAAATATTTTAGAAAAACTAAATTAAAATTGTACAACTTTTATAGGGATTAAACACTTAATTAAGCTTTATTTTAAATTGAGTCTTGTTAAATAGGAAAACATATTAGGAGTTTTGTTTTTAGTTGTGTCAATAAAAGAGTATATCTTGGGTTTGAATCATATTACTTCTAACTTTAGGATATCAATATTATGTCACCTTTATAGATGATTTTTCTTGTTGCACAAATAATTTTATTTAAAAATTATTTTGATATTTTCTTTGTTTTTTAATCGTTCTTTTTTGAAATAAAAGCTCAATTCAACACTTAAATTAAAATGTTGCAAATGCTTGCGAATATTTGTCCACTTCCTTTCGGTCTTTTTTTTCTTTCACAAAGTATTTTACATTAGTCTTCCTATACTCATACACAACAAAATAGCATTGCTGAATGAAAAAATTGTCACTTGGTGGAAATAATTCACTCTTCTTCTCCAAAACAATGTACCGCTCTGTTTCTGGGGGATACTATCCTTACTACTTGCTATTTAATTAATTGTATGCCCTTTTGTATCCTTAATAATCAAGTACTACATTCCATTTTATATCCTAATCAAGACCTTTTCTCCCTTTCCTTTTAATTCTTCAATTGCACTTAATTGGTTCATGACCTTATTCCAAGTTAAGACAAACGCTTTACCAAATCTCTTAAGTGTCTTTTTCGGGTTACTCTCGTCTTCAGAAAGATTATTGATATTATTCCCAGTCCTTTGTCGTTACCTTGTTTATGCATATGTCAACTTCTTTGAGAGTTATCCCTTCTTCTCTTCTCCTTTTGATACTGCTGGCAACTTGGATTCCATTTCTTCAGGTACTTCTCTTCTCCTCAACCTGTTCCTACTTCTATTCTCTCTCCTCATCTTTTACTCTACCATAGGAGGAATCTCACGAATTTTGAGTTACAATAATTAGAGTTTAATCCTCCAGATTCATTTGCTACTCCAACTGTCTTTCCGCTCCTATTTCCTGAACAAGAAGTATTCATTGCTTTGAGCAAAGATGTCAGGTTCTGTCATAATCCTATTTATGTTTGTTACTTGAATTATAATTTCGTATCTCCTTCCTGTTTTGTTTTTGTTTCTTCCTGTATCTATATCTCAAAATACATATAAGACCTTATCTAATCCATGATGATGACAAACAATGGTGGATAAAATAACTGTCTTACACTCCATGGCACCTAAGATTTAGTTCCCCTCTCTCCAATTAAGACTATCGTTGGATGCTAATGAATATGTAGATTGGACCTGATGGAAAGGTGGACAGCTTAAAATCAAGATTAGTGGCCAAAGGATAATATTCAGATATTTGGTATTGACTATGAAGATTCTTTCCCTCCCGTGGCCAAGATTGATTTTGTTCATCTCTTTTTAGCTCTTTTTGCCATTTATCAATTGTCTCTTCATCAATTAGACATCAAGACATCAAGAATGCATTTTGTCACAGAAAATGAGAAGTTCTTATGGACGCTTCCCTACACACGGGACATCTCTTTTGGTATGCTGCGTATGATGCTTCTTTTATGGCTTGAAGCAATCCCCACACGATTGGTTCAACCATTTTAGCATTGTATTACAACAAAATGGCATGACTTGCTATAAGGGAGATCACTCCGTCTTCTTCCTTCACTCATCATACGATACCCTGTGTTTACTTGATAATGTATGTGGATGACATTGTTATTATTGACAATGATAGCATGGACATCCAAAAACTTGAACAACACTTATCCCATTATTTTTAGACAAAGGATTTAGGTTGTCTTACATATTTCCTAGAAATTGATATACACTTGATAATCCAGCAATGGGATTTCCATTAATCAACACAAATATACACTTGATATTCTCTCTAAAATAGGAATGCTTGAATGTCAACCAATTGATTCTTTTATGGAGCCCAATCTTGAGCTTCTTCCTGGTTAGAGGGAGCCTTTGAAAGACCTAGAAAGATATTGATGCTTGGTTGATAAACTCTATTACCTCACAATCACTAGACTTGACATCACGTTTGTCATGAGTGTAGTCAGTTTTTAATTACTCCTTGTGATAGTTATTGAAACACAATTGTCCACATTCTCAGATACATAAAGAGTGCATCAGTCGAAGGATTACTTCACCAAAACAAGGGGAACTCTGCAATTGTTGGTTACTTCGAGGAAGTAGTGTATATAAAGACACCATTACGATATGATTGTCAATGGAGGAAACAATTTATGTTGATTGAGAAAGGCTTTGTAAGGGCTCAAGCAGTCTCCCTATCGCTAGTTTGGAAAATTTACTCAAGCTATGATGTCTTTGGGATATAAGCAAAGTCAAGGTGATTATGCCCTCTTTATAAGCATTCACATGGTGGAAAATTGACACATCTTTTTAGTTCACCTGAACAAAATGATTATTATAGGTAATGATGGTCCTGAAAAGTAAATTCTGAAAGAGAAACTAGCATCACAATTTGAGATGATCAGATGAAGGATCTTGGGAAGTTAAAGTGCTTTTTTGGGAATTGAAGTTTCTTAATCAAAACATGGCATCTTCATATCTTAATGAAAACATGTGCATGAAGTCCTTAATGAAACGGGCAAGTTGGGATGTAAAACTGCAAGAACTCCCATCAAGCAGAATTATCAAATCGGGAGAGGAAGAACCTTCAGCAGTAGACAGAGCAGTATCAGAGGCTTGTGGTATAACTCATCTATTTAGCCTAAAGTTGACCTGGTGCAATTTATGCACTAAGTGTGGTCAGTTAGTTTATACATGACCCATGAGAAAGACAAATTAAAATTCTCTACTATTTAACTAGTAATCTAGGGAAAGGATCGCTATTTAAGAAGGAAGGCAAACTAACACTGAAAGGCTATACAGATGCAAATTGTGCTGGATTAATTATTGGTAAGAGGTCCACCTTAAGGTATTGCATGCTCCTAGGTGGAATCTTGGTGACATGGAGAAGTAAGAAACAAAGTGTGGTGACACAATCAAGTGGAGAGGCAAAATTTTGATCCATGGCACAAGGTGTCTATGAGCTGTTATGGATGAAGATTGTGTTTGATGATCTTCGAATACAGTATGAAGCTCCGATAAGACTGCTCTATGACTACAAATATGCTCTTAGCATTTCTAATAATCTGGTTCAGCACGATAGAGTGAAACTTGTTGAGCTAGATAAACACTTCATTAAAGAGGAATTAGACAGTGTCCTTGAAGAGACATCACATGTTGCTTTGGAAAACAGCTAGCAGATTTGCAAAAAGGCTACCCATAGAGCAATTTTGAAAAATTTCTAGCAAGCTGGGAATGGTAGATATTCACCAGCTTGAGGGGAAGTTTTGTAATGTGTTTAATATGTATATTTGTCCTTTTAACACGTGCTTAATATGTTGTATAGGATTTAATAAGATTTGCACCCTATTACCTTAAATACTGTAACCCATAATTTTATCGTAGGACTTTATGACCTTGGTGGTATCAATACTTCAATATTGTACCCTGTAATACACAACAAAATATTCAGCCTTTTCTCTTCTTTCAAGTCTCTTCTACTATTGTACAGCTAACATTTTACAAGTTGTATTAATTAGAGAGAATCTTTTGCTTGAGTTGTTTGGAAAGGGGGTTTTTGATGAGAAGGGGAGGGGAGGACAATTTTTTTTTAATTAAATATATTTAAAATTAATACTTTTTTCAAATAAAAAATATTAATTGATATTAATATGAATTTAATCATGCATTTGTTATTATAAATGATATATAATTATTTTAATTTAAAATTAAAAAATATGTTATCTCCCTCTCTAAAAACCTTGTCCTGAACATACGAATAAGCACATAATTTCTTTCTATACCTGACATGAATTCAATGCCATAGCAGTTCTGATACTATTACAAGATTTTGGTGGTTTTCACCCTAAGTTTGTCAACTGTGCTTCGATTTGCATTCTTTCATGACTTATAATTGATCGTTTTACCCTTTCAAGTTGCAATTAATTTGAGTCGTCTTCTTTTAGTAATATCTACTTCTCATCTTCATGCAGGAAGCGACTATTTAATATGATAAATGATCTTCCAACAATATTTGAGGTTGTTACAGGGATGGCCAAGAAACAAGGAAAGGAAAAGTCATCAGTTTCAAATCATAGCAGTAACAAATCAAAATCAAACTCTAAGGTATGCAGTCTTAAAAATCAACCTAACTGCCATCCCCAACTTTTGGCTATGAAGTTAATTGCCTTTTTCTCTAAATGTTGTGAATGCTGGGTACTGATTATTTTTGAGAAATAATTTCATTTCCTCAAGTTCTCTTGGAAACACAAAATAGGCTAATGATTACATTTTGTTTTATATATGGGATTTAATGCGTTAAACTTTAGATGTGTTAGCACAGGTTCATAGTTCAGCGAAAGGGGGATGACCAATTTTGAGTGATTATCCTTTTATTTAGCAATGTGTTATGGTGCTTTTAGATGTTATCATTTGAACTTGAAGTGAAGCAGCATTCTGGGAGCCAAAAAGTATTTTACAATTTGTAATGAGATATGGTTTCTGATAGGGATTTAACCATACATTGTTTGTTATCTCTTTTGGTTTGACAAATGCAGCGAGGTTCCGAAACAAAGTATTCAAAATCAATGCAATCAAAGGAAGAGGATGAGGAGGATCTAGGATTGGAAGAGGAAGACGAGGAGGAACATGGAGAGACTTTGTGTGGGGCATGTGGAGAGAGCTATGCTGCTGATGAGTTCTGGATTTGCTGTGACATTTGTGAGAAATGGTTCCATGGAAAGTGTGTTAAGATTACTCCTGCAAGGGCAGAGCATATCAAGCAATACAAATGTCCATCTTGCAGCAACAAGAGAGCTCGACCTTGACAATGGCTAGGAGCGCCTAGGAGGGTGGCTATAATCTTGGCAATTTTATGACTACTAATTTGTTTAGTAGGTCAGGTTTATTAGTCTTGCTGTCAACTTCAGGTATATTGTTTCAAATGTTACATTAGATTTATTTGCTGCTGTTGAATTATCTAGTTAGGGTCTTTATTTCATCAGTGGACTTAAATATTGATCTGTTGTGCTTCCTTAAATTTAGTGTAGCTGTAGCTGTAACTGTACTGTGTGTCAATATCTTAGTGAAGTTCATATTATCCATCGTAACGTAATTCTTTTCTCCTACAAGTTCTAACATTTGTTAATAATTGGTGAAACGTAAAAGGAAGGAAGAATCTGCTCTAGTTGTTTTTTTTTTTTTTTTTTTTTTTCTGTCAGAAATTTTGTTTTGGTCGAGAGTGCAGCAATAACCTGCTCCCTTTGTCAAATAGCGCACAACGGCACAAGTTTAAAAAAAAAAGGCAATCTTAACCCAAAAAAAAAAAAAAAGAGAAAAAAAGGATCAAATATTAATTTTTTTTAAATGTATTGCGTTAATAATGTACTCAAACGTTTTAAGATGCTAATCTATGGTATAGGTACGAGCTGAAACAATCTGACATGTGTACCTCTAATACGTCAAATATTCTCTAAAAGCCTTAATGTTTTGTTTGACTTAGAAGTGAAATAAGTAGAAATAAAATAGGAATGAATGTAAATAAAAAAATAGTAAAAAGAATACAGTAATTGAATAGATAAAAATTAGATGAAGAAATAAATAAATTTATTTTCACTTGTTTAAATGAGTGAAAATGATAGTAAAAAGAAATAAATGAATGATATAAAAAGTATTTTATAGTATTTCATAAAAAAATTAATTTTTAATTTTTAATTTTTTATTATATCTTTTTTGTGTTATTATAAATTTTTTTATTATTTTTTAGAATTTTTTCTATAAAATATTTTTAAATTTTGAAATAATTAAATAAACAATAAAAAAAAATTGCAGCTGAAAAAAAAAGGCTTCATTTCACGCTGAAATGTCTATTTAATTCGTGAATTTCAATTAAACAAAACCATGGAAATGTTAAAACCTACTACATTTCAATCCTCTCCATTTCCCTTAAGCAAAGTACAGTTAGTATTGATAGAATCTCCAGTTGACTTAAGAAAATTTTATTTATTTACTGACTAAAAATAGTGTTATCTCATAAAAAAATAATAAAAATAGTTAAAATAATTGAATTCATCCACACGGTAAAATTATACTGCAAGTTGCTTTTTAGGATCAAATATGATGACTTTTTGGCTAAAAAAAAAATCTAAATTGAACTACAAACAACCCCAATTAAATGTAGCGTTTTAGGTTTTTTTTAATCAAAATTTAAATTTCATTTTTATAATCAATGATTTTTAATGTTAATTTTTATTGTGTAATTTATTCAGGTGAAACCTTAATTTTAATTTAAGAATAATAATAAAATTATTAGAAAAAATATTTTTATATTTTTTATACAATCATAATATTTATTTATATCGTATGGTCATAAACACGTTAAAAATCATGTTAGCTATTAAAGGACTGACAAAAGTAAGTAGCATTACTCCTTTCTCCCCTTTACACTTTCCATCAAGTGATTTGCAACTTTTAAAAATAGGAAAATTATATTTATTTTTCACCTAGAAAAACACTTTTTCTATTCAGTGCTCACTGTGCAATCAATATCGATAAATTGACCAATTTAGTCTTTGAAATGGTTAATGCAACCATTTTAATCACTCAAATTTTAAAATGCTTTCGATAATTCTTCGTACTTTTCTTTGTCAATCACTATAAGAGGGTAACTGTTTTTGTAAAGTCAAGTCATATATTTGATTTTTTTTTTTACCCGATGAAGTGCTTGTTTGACATAGTTAATAATTTGTTTAAAATAAACTAAACTAAATAGACAAAATTAACAATAGGTGTAATTATATTTTATTGAGCCTATTTTTTTTTTTATTGAAATCAAAGACTAATCCATTTCGATAACGTAATGCCAATAATTAAAAAATACTAATTTAATTTTTATTTGATTAATTTGAGAAAAATGAATAAAAGTGTCATGTTTAATATATTAATCCTATGATTTAGCTTTATGGCACATGTTAAAGTAGTGAGGTGAAGAAAGATCACAACAGTCAACACAGGATATAGCTGAGTGGGAAATCATGTAAACTATAAAATTTAAGGATATAGATCACATAAGTCACGTAATAATTAACGTGTTATGTCTCCATATCTATTAATAATAATGAATAAATTATAATGACAAAAATTAGTTTAAATAACTACGTAATTAGTTTACAAATATATCATTTTTTAAAAATTTAAAATCTGACTTAACTAACATGTAAAACATAGGAGACAAAATTATTAATTTACTGAAAGAATTGTATGACAAAAAATAAAATTGTTCACATAACTTAAAAACTATTAATTCATTCTGACAGAAAAAGGGTCATTGGTTGTGTCTGATCCACAGAAAGGGGTACACAGGCACAGCACACGTTAGTTATTTCGTTGCCGGTTTTATTAGTTAGCCCCTTGGTTTCATAAACGACACCACTCTTTTGCTGCGTTTCATTCGTAAACCCATGCTGCCTCTTTTCTGTTTCATTACATATGTCAGTTCATAAGATTCTGACATCGCCCGTTGTCGCTTTACTAAATTTGTATTTCGATTTATTTTAAGATTAATTCAAAGTCTTTCTATTCTTTATGTTTATATATATTTTTTAATTATTACATAAAAAATTATTTTTTTAATGTTTTTATCAAGTAAATTTGTGTGAGCGTGTTACTCCTCCTTTAAATCAACAAAGTCTAGCACTGTTGGCAGATTAATGAATTTTACAAGTATGTTGACATGAGTTTAACTTTTAATTAAGCTTAGAAAAATAATTTATTAAAATAAAATGTACTCAATTTGATAATCTTTTTGTTTGAAAAATTATTCGTTTAACTATTGATTAAAAACTATTTTTGATGCGAACATAAAAACCTGTTGATTAATAGATGTCTTTGGCGTTAAAAACAAAAAAGGTAAGTTCGTGTGAGCCGACGAAGTAGATCCAACCTGAAGCATTACGTTAAAAAATTTGGGTTAGGTAGTAATAAAATTTAATTACTTTATGTCAATTAAATTCAAATTTGTGGTTTATTTTTCTTTCTCAAATGAATATTTTAAAAAGAATAATACTCTCTTTATATTTTATTTGTCAATTTAACATTTTTACAAGAATTAAGAAATGATTTTTTTAATCAATTAATTATTCTTCTATTTTCAATTAAGAGTATCAATTTGACCCATATTCATTCGTAAGTGTAGATGTTATGATTACCTAAACTAATTAAAATTTAATTAATAATAATACAAATTTTTACACTATTTAATTGTAGTACATTAAATGAGTTTTTAATAAGATGTATAAAATAATATTTATTTATTTGGATTACCTAAACGATAAAATTGACTTTAAATTCAAATTTTACCTCTATATTTTCATTATTCAAACATATATTATTGGTTTAAATAACTTTTTAGTCTCAATTTTTTTCTTTTGGTTTTAGTTATTGTCTTTGCCTTTAATTCTTTTTTATTTTTAGTTTTTTTTTTTTTCAATTTCTACAATTTTTTATTTTTAATCCTTGTTTATTTTTGCATATTATAAACTAATAAGAGACTAAAATAAATAAATAAGAACTAAAAGTAAAAGTAAGAAAAAAAGAGAGTAAGAACTAAAAACAATCGATAAAGACAAAAGACCACAAAAGAACAAAAAATAGAGATTTAAAATAAAAATAAAAGATAAGGACTGAAAATTTATTAAAATATAAACTATATAACTTTAAATTAATTTTAATTCTAAAAAGGAAAAAGAAAAATTAAAGTTTCAAAGTGTAATTTGAATTCAATGTTTGAAATAGAGTCTAGAAGAAGACTAGAAGGGTGAATAAAGATGAACGGAGAGAAACATCTGATTCTGAGTTGTTGAGGTTTTGCTTTGAGAAAAGACAACGGAAAATAGACAGAAAGAACAACAAACATAGAGGCATGTCCTTTGAAAGGCTATATAATGTGTTATGTCCTTTGATGACCGTAAAAGCCACATCCCCTTCTTTCCCACCACACTCAACACTCAAGAGGTGAATATATCTATTGCAACTTTAATCACTCATTCGTTTGTTTTTCTAATAAAGTTGACACTAATTTAGTTCGTTAATAATAATAAACAAATTCACATGATTAGGTTTTTATAAATTTTTTTTAATTGTTGGATTATGATTCATGCAAAATAATAATGATAATTTTATTTATAAGAAATAAATATTTAATTTATTTTAAAAATTATATTCAATTTTAAGGAATAAAATTAATTTTTTACATTTAATATTCTTTCTAGTTTTATTTAGAAGAAATAAATATATAATTCATTAAAAATATATTTATTTTTCAAAAAACAATTATTACTTTTTTTGACAGTTAATTTTAAATACAAGATAATAAATTATATTTTATTTAATTTTTTAATCTAAAATCTTATTATCGAGTTTAAGAACTTAAAAATAACATTTTTATTAAAATAATGTTATTAAAATTTTTATTCTGATGTAATAATTATATTTTTTAAATAAAATTTATTACTTTTACATAATTCAACTTAAATCTAAAATTAAAGCTAATGAAATTAATATTTTATTCACACCTTAAATATACAAATACTGTTTTACAAATCAAACAAAAAATTGTAACTCTTATATTTCATAATCAAACACAATTTTTTTTACCAAAATAAAAAACTTTTTAAAAATCTTATAAAAATATGTACAACTTAAAAGTATAATAAAATATAAAACTTAATTAAACATTTATATAATAATTTTTTATATAAATACTTATGACATGAAATTAATAATATAATTTATTAAAATAAATTAAAAATTAAATACTATATTAAAAAATTTTAATCAATCAAATTTTATATTATAAATAAGAGTAGTTTATGAGAAAGAAAACAAATTCACTAGAACTACTCTCTAGCTATCACACTTTGCCACCATTACTTTTTAAAATTAAAATTATTTAAAAATACTTTGTTAATTATAATACATCTCGTTGTAGTAATTTTAATTTTCAATGAATTATTCAACAAATTAATTACTCAGATGTTCCCTTTGTTTAAAATTTATATTTTCAAGTAATAATAACTTTTCTAAAAAGTTAATACTCATTTTATTTTTTAAATCACATTATTAATCCTATTTATTTTTTTAATCTTTTTTATTAATAAAATTAGACTTTTTTTTAATATTTTATGATAAAAAATAATATTTTTTTCATAATAAAAAATGTTAAACAATAAATATTTCTAATTTTTAACACCCATGTTTTCTTAGTAGTAATACTGATAATATATTTTTATTAAATTAAATATATTATTAGTATTTATTAATATTACTACATTTATTTTTTATTTTTAATATATAGATAAATATCAGACATCAATAAGAATAATAAAAATTATATTTAAAATTTTATGATCTATAAAATAAAAAATAATAAATATTTTAAAAAACTAAAATGAAATTTAACAATACTATTCATATTATTAACAAAGATCCAAAGTAAAAAAATGTTTTATCCGTTTAGAATGAAAAGACCAAATAGAAACAGACACGTGTCGAATTCACATTCATCATCCCGCGTGTCTTCTATTTCTCTCTCCTTCTTCTCCTTCCTTTATTAACCATCTCCAACACTCACACCCGTCCCAGCTTCGCTTTCCCTTTCTGCGCGTATCTCTCTCTTTCAACATGATTTCGAGTCCAACCGAAGAAGATTCAGCTTCAGCAACGTCAATCTCAGAGGCCCAATTGCATGCCCCAGAAGACATAAATTGGCACATGCTCGACAAATCAAAGTTCTTCTTCCTCGGAGCAACCTTATTCTCCGCTCTATCAGCAGCTCTCTACCCCGTTGTCGTGTTGAAGACGCGTCAGCAAGTCTCCTCAGCAAAAATCTCTTGCCGAAACATGTCCTCTGCTATCATGCGCTACGAGGGTTTCCGAGGTTTCTACAGAGGTTTTGGCACTTCCTTAATTGGAACAATTCCCGCACGTGCGCTTTACATGTCAGCACTCGAAGTCACCAAAACCAACGTTGGCACCGCCACCGTTCGTTTGGGTTTCTCCGACGCCTCTGCCACTGCCATAGCTAATGCCGCTGGTGGGGTCGCTTCTGCCATGGCTGCGCAACTGGTGTGGACCCCAGTTGATGTCGTCAGCCAAAGACTCATGGTTCAAGGAACCAACAAAAACAACGTTGCACACGGTCTTCATTATAGAAACGGTTTCGATGCTTTCAAGAAAATTTTGTGCGTTGATGGGCTAAGAGGGTTTTATAGGGGGTTTGGGGTGTCCATTGTGACTTACGCGCCTTCTAACGCGGCTTGGTGGGCTTCGTATTCGATGGTGCATAGGGTCATTTGGGGTGGTTTTGGGTGTTGCGTGGGTGATGATTACAAGGTAAATTTGGGTGTGCAAGGGTTGAGTGCGGTTATGGCGAGTGGGGTTTCAGCAATTGTGACTATGCCACTTGATACTATTAAGACGAGGTTGCAAGTGTTGGATTCGGTCGAGAATGGACGAAAGAGGCCAATGACTTTTGTGCAAACGGTTAAGAATTTGGTGGGGGAAGGTGGAATTTTGGGTTGTTACAGAGGATTGGGACCAAGGTGGGCTTCAATGTCTCTGTCTGCAGCCACCATGGTTACTACCTACGAGTTCTTGAAACGCATGTCTGCTAAGAATCTAGACAGTTAAATGCGTAATGAGTAAATTACTCAAGATAATTTCGGAATCAAGATGTATTTTTTGGTGAATTTTAAAATATATATTATTGGCGTTTCGTTCTTTTAATTTTTTAATATTTATTCAGTTTTAAAAATAAAATATATGAAAAATAATGTATTATAACATACAAAATAGTAATAATTGGAATTGTTATGATAAAGTAGTTAAAATAAACTGATATTTTATTGTAAATAAATATCGTTAATGTATAGTTATTATGTGCATAATAACGTATCAATCTTCATCTTATAAGGATTATATTTAGAGAAACAAGCTTTAACGATTAGTTGTGTAATTAATGTTTGACAATTTTTTTGACGCAGAAGAAATTAAGTGTGGAAATTAATGTTTGGTGGGTTTTAAATATAAAGTCATTAATGTCTAAAGATAATATACTTACATCTCATCGTGGAAATAAAAGAAAACAACAAAATATGATCGTGATTCTTTTCTGAAAACTCCTAAAATTAAATATAATTTTAAAAATTCTAAAAAAAAAGAATGACGTATTTCAGATTTTACTCTCTGAAGAAAATTAACTCATCAAAGTTAAGATTGTATAATAGGCTACCCCATTGGCGGTGAGATAAAAACAAAACTTGTTTTTCTGTTTTAAATTTAGGAAAGAAAAGAGCTATCATTTTCATTTTTGCTTTTTAAGATATGTCTTTGAGAGTTGCGAGGAGACCACCGAAGGCTCTGTGTAAATTAATATTTTAGAAGTGCATGTTTTCGCATCCCCTCTAGCATTGGGAATTTAATAATTAACAGTGATCTGATAGATAAAGATAATTTTAGTACGTGAACACTACTTGCCTCCGAATAAAATATTATTTTAATCTATAAAATAATGTAGGATTTGTCAAGTTGATATTTAACATTGTTACCCTTACTATTGTATGTTATTTTCAAATTAACAGTTATTAATATCTTAAAAATTAAATAATATTTATATTTTTAAATAAATTATTAATTTTACTATTTATTAATATAAAATTAACGGTATATAAAAAGGCATAAAATATCTTTTCAAATTACAAGTTATTATAAAAATTATCTTTAAAATTACATAAAAGAATTATAAAATTATTTATAAGAACATTTTATAATTAAATATCACATAAAATATCATTTAAAAATTATTTAATTATGTTATTATCTATTCCAATATAGCTTTAATCTTAATAAAGATCGGTTTTATATATTTAGAAAACTAAAATAATATTTTAGTCTCTATTGTGAAAGATACAAGAAGAACTATTTTATTCCTTATCAATTGGGATTAATTTATTTTGAGTAAATAATTTGATAAATTAACGTAAAATAAAAATAATGTTAAGAACAAACCAAGATTAATATAAACGAACTTTAAAAAAAAATAGAAATAAATTATTTTAAAAATGATTTTGTTGGGCATTGTTAAAGGGTAGACGTACTGACACTGAGACTCCTTATCTGTGGGTGAGGCTCCAAGTTCAGCAAACCAAGAGCACAATACAAGGGGTACCAAGAACAGTGCTGCAGCCTGCAGAGTATCCCACGCTCATGGGACCATCGTTACCATAAATAACTCATTCTTTTCCACATTAGTTCTCATTTAATATTAATATACATGTTTTCAAATATAATTTTATTAAAAGTGTTTAAATTTTTTAATATAATTAGGTGACAGATAATTATAAAATTATATGTAAAACTGAGAGAGTAATAATAGATCATCAGCAAAAAGGAAATAGAAAAAAAAAACATGGGTAGTTTGTTTTTAAAATAGAAGCCGTATTTTATATAATTTAATCTTTAAATTAAGTTTCGGTATCCTTCCCTCACAAAGTTTAAATATATAAGGATGAAATATAAAAAAGAATAACATATTTAAAGACCAAATTTTAAAAAATTATCCAAAGTAAAACTTTATTATAAAATAATTGAGTTAATGATCAGTGTGAATGTACTTGTTGGTGGTCCAAGACTAACAGGTCCAAACAAGATGATATGGAGTTCAGATGCATTTGAACGAATTTCCATTTCGTCCACAGTTAGCATTAATAATAAATTATTGGTCGACTGAATCAAATATATTCGTTAAAAATAAAAAATATTAGTTAATCAAATAAGCATTTTATAATTAATATTTTATATTTTCAGTAAACACGATTTTATAATTTATTGATAAACATACACATATTCTTACAATACTTTCTGCAATTCAATTTTTTTAAGTTGCATTTTTAATCTTTATATATAGCTCGAACGTGACTTTAGTATATGTAATTGTAATTATTTATTAAATTATTAATAATTAATAAAATATAATAACATATAATATATTGTTGATTTATAGAAATTTACTAAAAATATATTAAATAATTAAATAAAATTATTTATTATATTTTATTTAATATTTTTATTTAAATATTATATATGTTATTAATTTATATCTATTAATAATATATCATGGTTTTATCATATTATTGTTAATTATAAATAAATTTTTAATATAAAGACATAATTAAAACAAATAAAAAACTTAAACATGAACAATTAAAATTACATATAAGTTAAAATATAAAAAAATACGATTAATTTTTTGTATCTCTCTCTTTAAACTATTAATTTGTCGAAACAGGATATTTTCAAATTTTAGAAATTTTAAAATATGGCTAAGATTCCTTTTTGCTTGCCTGTTAACAAGAAGATTCTGGACGTTTGTAGAAGAAGGATAGGAAGCTTTAGAAGGCGCGTGTAATGGAACCTGCTGGAGGTGGAACAGCATATCGATAGTTTTCTCCAGAAACTTCCACTTCTTTCCAGAACTATCTATGTCCCCCATTTAAATACCCATTCCCACCCCTTCCACCTACACAAGAACATCCTCAAAACAGAATCCAAGTGCAAACAAAGGCTACTTTGAGCAATTTTGATTATTCCGAAGTCATGGATTTCAGGGTGGTGGGTTTGGAGTCTCCGTTGTTTCACGCGCTGCAGCATGTGATGGACTTTCCAGACGACGCTGCAGGGGACAAAACACACAATGCTCCGACCAGAACATACGTCAGAGATGCGAAGGCGATGGCTACAACCCCTGCGGATGTGAAGGAGTCTCCGAATTCTTACGTGTTCGTGATCGACATGCCGGGTTTGAAATCAGAGGACATAAAGGTTCAGTTGGAAGATGACAATGTGCTTCTCATAAACGGAGAGAGGAAGAGAGAGGAAGAGAGAGAAGGTTCCAAGTATTTGAGAATGGAAAGAAGGGTTGGCAAATTCATGCGCAAGTTCGTGCTCCCTGACAATGCTAACACTGATGCTATTTCTGCTGTGTGCCAAGACGGGGTTCTCAGTGTCACTGTTCAGAAGTTGCCTCCTCCTCAACCTAAGAAACCAAAAACTATTGAGGTTAAGGTTGCTTGAGCTTGAAGAACTAAATATGAGTTTGGGAGTGGTGCCATAAGGTTTTTCTGGTTTGGTTGTGTTCTTTTTGCAATGATTTTGTTGCTTTGTAGTGGTTTGTGAAATTATTATAAATAATGTAATGATATATTAGTCACTGATGAAAATGTTTTGATTCTTAATTGCTCTGCTTTCTAATTTCTATCCAATTTTGTTACAATTTGTAGTTCATTCTGTGTTTCTTCCAGAGAAACCCGTAAATAACACATCATTTGAAGCCTGCCGTGGATATGATGGAACTAGGAATTAGAGACAACATAGTTTAGTTATACTTGGTATTTTAGACTGACGGATTGTGATTGTTCGTAAACACGCACAAAAAAATTAAAATAAAATTGTTTATACAGGTGAAACTGGCAAACTGCTGTAACACATGAATTTTCAATGTTCCAAGAGAAATTTGATAATCACCTTATAGAGGTTGGTCTCAGCGTGGGTTACCATTTAAAATTTTTCCTAGTAGTGTTTAGGAGTTTTAAACTTGTTTATATGCGTACCACTTTAGATTAACCGAGCAAATAATAGTGTCCAAGGAGCAAGTTCTCTGTCTCCTCAAATTTCTTTGTTAAGAGGGTACTATAGAACTCCCCTTCAGAGCAGCACCTGCTCCCAATTCATATAAATACACAGCATTCCATTAATACGTTTTGAAGGTAGTTCTATTCCACATAAGGAAAATCTTTGATGAGTAAATAAAATTATACATTTACAATACTTTTATATTTTTAGTGAACTTTTTAAACGTTTGTATCAATTGAAGATAAAAGTACGTAAAAAAATGGAATAAAGTTAAAGTGTATTTATTTTAAATCTCATCTTTCCTTTGAACATTTTACAGATCCACCCCTAAATGAAAGAACTTGATTATTGCAATTGAAAAAGTCTAATAACTAAATTGTAGTAAATTAGAATTTGAAAGACAAAATATATGCATTAGTAATAATAGCCAAAAAAAAAAAAAAACAATTGAAGTAAAAATATTTATAATATAGAATGTTAATATAAGAGTTTGCAAAATCGAACAAATTGGTTAGATTCGTCTTAATATATCCTTAAAATATAAGATTTGGGTTATTAAATTTAAGGTTTGAAAAATAAAAAATTGATTAAATATATTTTAAATTTTTATAAAATTATCAAAATTCATTCTTAAATTTCTCTCTCTCTCTCTCTCTCTCTCTCTCTATATATATATATATATATATAAATATATACATATATACATATATATATATATAATTTTAATCCTTAATTAATATAAAATATTTAAAATTAGTTGTTATTCAATTTTTGTTAACGGCTGATTTAACTAACAAAATTTTACATCATATTCTAATTCACTTCTAATTTTTGTAAAATTATTAAAGTTCACTTTTACTCTTTATAAAATATTTGTTCTATTTTACTCTCTACTTAATTTAAACCTAAAATATTTATTTATATACTTTATTTCAAAATTAATTTTTTAATTTTAAACACATTTTAAAGATATAATTATACAAAAAATGTAAAAAAAATAAATAATACCTTCATTAAATATTATAATTTCCCTTATTAATTGGTTGAGTTACGTAATTTTTCTCAATTTAAAAAATATCAAATAGAAGTATTAATTGACAAATTTTGAGTGTTATCGACTAAAGATCTACGCGAGATAGAAGTAAAGTCTAATATGAAGCTTGAATCGACCTAAGGTACATTATCCTTTTAATTAAGAAAAAATAGGGTTAAGGATAATATTTTATTAAAAAATATATTTATTATAATGTTATAATTTAAATGTAATAAATATACAATTTTTTAATAAAATTTATTTACTTTTAATAAATGATGATTCTCTTTTTTTTTATTCAATTTAATTTGGATTTAATCTAGATTACGCATTTGTACTGAAAATTTGTTATTTATGTAAAAATTTAAATTTAAAATTTTATTTAAACGATATAAAGTGGCTTATTTTTGGGATCAACTTTTGTTGTACGGGGTTCAACAATGATAGTGAATGAAAACAGCGGCGTAGAGTTGCAGGGTTAGAGTGAGAAGGATGAGGGAATAAAATGCTTATGAAGATAAAGACAAAGGCTATATATATTTAACCCATAAACAATTTTTCAGTTCTAAAAAAAGAACAGGTTTAGTATGGATCGAACTTGCATAAACATGCTTTACTACATAATAATAATAAATTATTATTATTATTTAGACCTGCTCGTATAAGATTGCTATTAGAATAGACTCGGGTTTGAGCTGCCATTTTAAAAATTGAATAACTTTACTCTTTTCTTTTCTTTTTTAACTTGACCACGTAGGTTCACTGCACGTATTGCGTTGGGCAACTGAATAGTTTGAATTAATAATTCTATTATAAATGTTCTCTATATTTTTTTACTCGTTAACTTTAAATTTCTTATTGATATAAATTCTGGTTATTTAGTCTTAAACACATAAATGTTTTTCGTAAAAATAAGAAAAAAAAAAAAACACAGGAAAGCATAAATAGTTCATATATAAAATGATAAAATGACAAAAGTAGAAACATTTATAATAATATATGGTAAAAAATATTTCACTTAAATATAATAGTAATTATTTATTATAACTAAGCCATGAAAATAAATATACTGTTTATATACTATCTTTTTATAATATATTTTTAGAAAAAAATGTTAATTTTAGACTTTAAGAACAAGTTTAAAAAATGATAATAATACTTTATTGAAATAAAATAACTATTATATTTTTATTTAATGAAATACATAATTTTTAATAAAAGTTATCATTTACAGATCTTAAATTAACTCTAAATGTTAACAAAAACAAATCCTATTTTTACAAGAGAGTCTTGTTAATTATTGTCCTAAACACATCAGTTAATAAATATAATATTTTTTTATTATCAAAAACTATACTCTCTCTAATATATTAGAAATAATGATTACATTATTAATAATACTTTCTGATAAAAAAAAACTCATTTTTAATATCTTAATCAGGCCTTAAAAAAAACTATAATTTTGTTTAATATTTTATTTTAATGTTACATAAACTTTCTTTATTCTTATAATTGATTAAGAAATTGAAAAGAATATGGATAATAAAAAAAATTCAATATTAAATTATTATATAATTAAAAAAAGACTAAAAGAGTAAAATAAAAAATTGTTAAATTGCAAATATAATTTGCGGGTTAGAGATGTGACAGAAAAATGTTGACATCTAAAAATAACCCTCAATACAGCTGTACGAAGAGGCTTCCCAGAAACAGAGGTAGAGGGAAGGTGGATGGTTTGATTTGATATATTCCTAATAAGAGTCACCACCGCAGTTATTTTCCATTGCTTCCATTTTCATGGTCAAATAATTAACCATCAGAATTGACATGATGTCAACTTGTGTTAATCATATTTAAGCTACCTTTGACAATATAATTTTATTACGTATTTTTTTAATAATTTATCGTATAAATATTTACATTATATTTTTTTTAAAAATAGTTTATTTAATAAATTATGCTAAAAATAATTAAAATAAATGTTTAAAATAATTTATGAGAATTATAAATTATTTATATACACTTGTTATAAAATTTATAAATGTTTCTTAAGTAAAAAAGTAAATATAACAAAAAACGAGTGTGTGATTAATTTGAATCACACAAGTAAAAGCACTAATTAATTTCGTCCCCCAAAAGGAAAGACAGAGGAAGGTAGGAATGAAGTTCGAAGAAAGTGTTAAAAGATTCTTATTACCATTTTCTGGGACCATAATTTGGTATATGATCACCTCCTCTCATCATCGATCACTAGCAATAAGCATTTCTACTCGCACTAAAGCTACTTGGAGTCAACCAAAGCTGATTCTACAACCTTGGCTCACATATTAACTTCACTCTCTTCCTATACCATATATTACCCTTTTGTTCATAGAAATACAAATAAGCTCTATATTTGTTTATTTGTTAAGGAGTTGCATGTGTTATGAAGAAGAAAATGTGATATTTTTTCTTTTTTACTTTCACTCTATCGTTTATACTCTTGTTAGGGTTTCTATTTATTTATTCAAATAGAGAAAAAGTTTACAAATTAGTAAATTTAATCATCTTGTTAGAACTTTTTGATAAATGTTTACATGCAAATGTTTTATTTATTGGTCAGCCTTTCTTTGACTTTTAGATTATTCAATTAATATAAACATTTTATTTATTGTGATTAAAATTTCTTTATATATGAAATAAATAAGAATATTTCTTTTTGTGTCTCCTTGCAAATATAAATGTAAGAACGGAGTATATCTAATGAGGGAGGGGGAATCAAACTTTCACTTTCACTTTCACTATCTTCATTTTTGTTTTTAAAGCAATGCACTCATTAATCCTTAACCCCATTAATTAACTTTTGAATGGCACACTAGAGAAAGTCTAGAAGCTAGATCACCCTCCACTTGCGGGGAACAAAAGAAAAAAGAAAAACCAAGTTACGATGAAGTCATTTTTATGGTATCTCATATGAAAGCAATGACACATGCGGTTCGAAGAAACTTGCATCAGCCCACAAAACAACAGCAACCCTTTTGACTTGCATCTTCCGTTGTGAAGGGGTAATTAATTGGTCCAACCACGACACTTATTTGATCAATCCACACCACATTCACCTCTCTTGGAAGTCTTCCCCAAGTCATCCTTAGCTATGCCCCACTCTCATTTCTCCTCCATTTACTATTCTTAAATATTCTTTTTTCGCTTAAATCATAAACAGATCCATAAAAATATTATCATTTCTAATTCACTCCTTATAAATTTTTTATTCAATTTTAGTCTCTATATTTAATAAATTATAGGATTTTATTTTTTTATTAAAGAAGAAAATTACATAATTTTGTTTATAAAAAATTGTTAAAAACATACTTTTTAACACCCTCTTAATTATTGATTAAAATTTATTTAAAATTACAAAAATATGATAAATTAATATTTAGTAGTAGAAAAATTAAAATTTATATAATTTTTAAATTTTTAAAATTACATAAAAGAGTTATAAAAATAAAAATAAAAATAAAAAAGATATTTTGAAAGGCTATTAACTTATTTAAACCTTCTTTTTCACTGGAATTGCTACGTGCCATTTCTACTTTTCAGTTTTCATTACCTTAGAAACTTCCTATGATTGTAGTTCATAGGAAGGTCACTATGAAGCCGCCTCACGGTGACTATGCAATGTGTGTATATATATATTGCTTGCGCCGTGATCCTTTCTTTATATATCGTTCAACATTTATCGTACCAAAATGACAGACAAAAATCCAAAACCACCACCTGATTCACCTGACAGTGATGATTTCACTAATCTATGGTCTTCTGAGTTCTCTGAGTATTTTAAACTTGATGATAACCAGTGGCTAAACGATAATATTGAGTCATTTGTTTCTGAGAATGCTTCCAACCAGGTTTATCAAGCCAATGAAGTAGGTGACTATAGAGGAGGTGGAAGCCACTTTGAGGGATCTTCTAGCAGTAAGCATAAGTGTTGTTTTGTAGTTTGAGATGTTTATAACCATTTTCATGAAGTGCGGGTTTGAGAAAGCTTATTTTTAATAAAAATAACAGCTTATAATTTTGTAAAAGTTTTCTCAGGAAGCTGCTAGAATTAAGTGATTTTTTCTTCAAAATAAGTTGAACCAAACATGCGCGGATTCAATTCAATAGTATACTAATTAATGTGAACATCTTAATCATTATGAATCCATGCTTCTATGTATTCTCTTTCACTAATAGTTTATTGGTTGTGTCTTAGGAGATGCTGGCAGTGGACACGAGAAGAAGGAAGTTGTTAAAGGGAGAATTGCATTCAAAACACAGTCAGAGGTTGAAATACTAGATGATGGGTACAAATGGAGAAAGTACGGAAAGAAAATGGTGAAGAACAGCCCCAATCCAAGGTATCTATATGCCTATGATACATACTATATAATAAAATAATATGGCCTTAAAACATTTTCTGATGAGTTCCTAGTACAATTGAATGATTAATTATATGTCAGGAACAAAAACCAAATTATATGATGAGAAAAAGGTAACGTAGAGTAAAATATTTTCTTACATGAGCATAAAATACCCCCACACTTATAACTACAAAGAACGTAAATGGTGCAATACTACATAAAGCAAAGATAAAATAGAAAGATGCATGCCATATAGAAGTTTTTAAATTTCTATTTTTAGTGAATAAAATACCCCCACATTTGTAACAGGCTTATCTGTAAGAGTATTTGATACAGGAATTACTACAGGTGTTCAGTGGATGGATGCCCAGTGAAAAAGAGAGTTGAGAGAGATAGGGATGATTCAAGGTATGTAATAACAACCTACGAAGGCAATCACACTCACCCAAGTTATTGCTAGGTCAAATATGAACAAGTTTTGACCCTTGTGTATATATATTTTGTTGGCCACGGTGATTCTAGTTACTTTCTAAATACTGCATGTGCTCTTACCAACTGTTACAAGGGATTCAACAATGCTAGAGTCGGTAACTGCTCATGTATAATTGACCTTCAAGGAAATAGAGGATATTAAAATATGCTTCTGTTATATCTATACGACAGAAGTTTCTGGTCGGTGAAACAATCAATTACAATAAATCACAATTCATCAATATTAATTCAATAGACACCGATATAATAAAAAAAAAAATGGAAAATCAATAAGATATATCAATCTCTCATACCGCTGTCAACTTTATATTATAAGGGTGTGCATGCTTATAAAAATAGTTTACAGTTCTTTTTAATTTATTTTAATAAACTTCTTCATATACCTTATCATAATAAATTATTTTCTTTTTCAGCTAATATGTTGATAAGTTTTATGATCTAATTTATGATGTAAACTTTTTATGCAATAAAATATTATTGAATAAACGCATAATGAATTAATCTGCTATATAAAAGCACCTGCTTAATTAAGTATGAAACTTCATACCTTCGAGCATTAGGATGCGTTACATTGAACTCTCTACCTGCTTCATGCTACTATATCACACATAAGATGTATTATGCAATGTGAAGGTGGAAACAGACGTGTGTAGCGGTAGAAAGACTCAACCGTGATCGTTAATACAAAGTCCAACATTACGTGGTTTCATGCTGTCATCTTTCAGTAGCAGCAGATATTCACGTTACACTGCCGAACAAAAAGGAGGGGCAAAAATAGAGTTTTCTACTCATCATAAATAAGTACATATAAAGAAATAAGTAAATAAATAAAATGAGTGCATGATCCAAAGAATAGCATTGCCCATAATGAGAAAGAAAAAAAAATGAAAAGTTTGAAAGTTTACTGCGTGTTTAATTGGAGGTTTTAAAAAGGAAAGGGGGTGAAATGGAAAACAACTGTCTTCCTCCTATATAGATAAATTGAGGGAAAACAAATAGAGAGTTGCAATGAATTTATATTTTATAATAACACTATTCTTGAGTAAAGTTATTTTAACACCTGGTTTAGGTGTTACTGTTTATATTAGACACCCTATACAATTGTAGTATAACTGTTTTTTAATTTGTATAGAATGTATGGTATAGATATCTAAATCGAGTGTTAAAATTTTGATTTTTAATTTTTTTCACTTTCATCTTCTGGTCTGACCACCCTTCATCTAAACAAATCTTCTTGTTAACAAAAAAAAGCACCAGAAGTTAAGAAATTATCAAACCATTCAAAAAATTAAAAAAAAATATAACACCCGTAGTAACTATATATAATTTTTTTTTCCCCTTAAAAAGCTCCCAATAAGATCGCTTTTTAAAGGCAAAAACCAATCATTTTACTCATTATGCAATTTTAAGAATTACACCTCCCCCCCGCCCCCCCCCCCCCCCAACAAAAAAAAAGGTACTGTTTATATAGAGATTGTGCTCAAAATCATGAGCCTCGTTCTATTCCCTTTGCTACAGGCCCAACTAAGCCAGCTAAAAAACAACACAATGTGGAAACTCTAATGGGATGGGACCCATGTTGGATAGATTCAGAAACTCGTTTCCACGCACGAAGGGTCAAGTAGACTTTTCAATTCAAACTTCAAAGAAAGCAAACGTTAAGCAGTATGAACAAAAAGATTAATCATACTACCATCGAATCTGCTTCTGGAATACCTTGTCTCCTACCTACCCACTTATAAGTGATTTTGAAGTCACCTTAATACCCTCTTAGTCTTGTTTATGCCTCTAACTCAGCTGGCAATGGTAATTGTACATTCATGATTTGTTAAGAAGTAGGCCAATGGCCATGAAAATTGAAAATTGAAAAGACGTTGTCAGCTACATTTTATTAATTTCAAGCAACGTTAGCATTTGTATATTAAATAAAAAAAAATATACAGCCACACTAAGTATACAACCATACTAGATATTTTCACTCTAGACTTTTACATTTCAGTATACATCTTTTCAAAAGTAGTTGAAAAGAGAAAAGGATCATTTCCAACATGGCCAGAAAATATTCTCTCTCTCTCTTTGTGTGTGTATTGACTGATTCGTAGATATATAAATAAATAGATAGAATAGATATACTTGACTCGTGTAACTTCCGAGATAAAATGATAGAACAACTATCTACAAGGAGAAATTTCCAAAATTGCTAAAATTGCATGTCAAAAGTGATCTGATGGTTCAATTTGGGAAGATGATATCAGGGTTCCGAATGTGTACATTTTCAGCTGGCAGCTCTTTGCCATTAGTCTTGGTGTTATTATTAACATAGGAAATGCTCCACAGGATATCCTCATTCAGCAACTTCTTGGTAAAAAGTACTAGCCATTCCACTGGCAAGCAACCAACGGAATCCAGACTGTTGCTGAGCTGCAGTACCCCAAAGTTGCTTGTTTCTGGCTTTGGTAAGGACACCTGCCAGATGAATCTGGCTGATTTTAAATCTAAACTGAGGGGCTTTGGTAAGGACACCTGCAAGGATGTGAACTCTTTCCACCTGAGTTAAAACCAACATTGGAACACCAACTGGTTCAAAATTTCGTAGAGGATCTCTAAGCTGGATCATAAAAGCCACTGTTAGGAAGTTTCCCATGAGTTCATGGTTTATTCCATGTGTGCTTAACTGGTCCATGCCATTTTTCAACCCTTGATCATCTAGTTCTCTGATTTTAGAATGGTGTGCTTTAAGGATATTCAAAATTTTCTCTGAATTCTGCTCTCCATCAATAATGCTAGAATCCAATCTCAACCACTGATCCAATGTTATTGATAGACCCATCAATCCATCGTCATCATTGCCAACTTCTACACCATCTTCTACCTGCAGTTTAGCTACTCTTTCTGATGGGGCAAACCCTCTCAAGTTGTCTCTTCTGACTCCAACAGCAGGTATCTTCGTGTGATGGGCACGGATGTATGAGGGTGCCTCCTCATAGAACATGCCAGACTGTATTCGCAACCCTTCTATAAAAAGAGATTCAATCTTATTAACAGTCATAGGAGCTACAGCTTCAAGAGACACACTGTCCAAGTCCATGTCTTCGTTTGTTAAATTATCACATGGAAATTCAAACAAATCATGCTGCCATGACCCCTGCCTGAAACAAAATTCAGAAAGGAAATCAGAAGAAAGAATAAAATACTTTAAATGAAAGAAAAATGAACATGACATTATATAGGAGAAAACACAAGTAATGCCAAAAACGCAATTGCTAACCTTCCAGGATCCCCTTTGTTGTTTGTTGCATCCTGCACAATATGCTCAATGGATTTTCCAGTGATATCTAGCAAAGGCATTGATTTATAGATATGATCACGCATCTCTTCAACTCCAGCAGATGCCATATGCAGCAGTATCTCCAATATATCATTGCCCATTTTAGCAGGTAGAATAACTGGATTAGAAGCCTGAGTGATTAGGCTCGCACAAGTTTTAGCATTTCTGAATAGTGAAGGGCTCATGGACCTCAAAAAGCCTCCACCCATAATTTGAACAAATGAACCAAGCCCTTGTCCAATTGAAGGTAACATGGATGATTCTTCATTGGATAGTTCAATTGGACTCCCAAATCCACCAGAACACGTTTCCAGAGAATTTTCAAAGTCTCTCTCGTTTAAACCCCACTGTTGCATCAATGAGTCAGTCTCCAGGTCTTCAAGAATTTTGGCCTTCCTTCTCAGCATTAATGACTGATTCTCCCTTGCATGCTCCTCTTCAGCAGCTTGAATAAATAAAGACAAATCGGAATCCAGAGTAACATCCTCACAGCTATGTCCAAGTATATCTGTCCTCAATTCCTCTTTATTTTCATCAAAATCAAAAGTGAAGTTAGCTTGAGCCTCTTTCTCAAACTGTCTTAAAAGCTGTTCTCTGGGAGACTGGGGATCACCATCACAACCTGAGCCAAATGAACCACTCTCCATCGCCAGCATGTTTAAGAAATCATTTGCAACAGATTCTGTGATATCATCCAAGCTATGTGACTTTTTTCCCATTCTATGTGCTTTATAATTTGATTTAACACTCAGGTAGTCTTCTTGATCAGGTAACTCTGATGCTTCAAGAACTATATCCACAGCCTTGATACAAGGTATATTAACACATGAACGACTGCATTTATGTTTGCTGTCATCTGCTATAGTTCCATTCACACAACTAGTGCATATGTTATCGATTGAATCACATCCTGTGTTCTTGTCAAGAAATATGTCATCATCCTTAAGAATATCATCCACATTAATGATTTCCACTATTGATAAATCAACTGTGTGAATTCCCGTCTGATCAAGTTTCAAGGAATCCCCTTCCAATGTTTCTACTTGTTCAATAATGGTAAATTCAGTGTCATCAGGGTCATGTTGATCTGATTCTTGAGGTGATTCTGATTTCACCACAGCATGGGATTTAAGTGGTCCAAAATGTTCGGTGTCTGCCCCTGCTGAATCATGGAAGTTCCCCTCATCAAGTTTTTGATACAGAAAACTGATTGATTTAGAAAGACTTGAGCCAGAATTCATAAATGTTTCATGAGATAAAATCACATCATCAGAATGAAAAGGAATGACCAATCCGTTATGTGGTTCGCACGGTAAGCTCCCAGCCTGCCTAAGCTTTATGTCCCTATTGCTAGGACCAAAATCCACAACACTGCCTGTGCTGCTGGGCCTGCCAGACTTCAAGTTAATAAGGTTTAGAACATTCAAATTATCACCACCAACATCCATTAACTCACCCTTCATTACTTGATAGCTGAAACTAACATTTAGGCTAGCTCCTACAGCCTTTCCTGCCAACCTAAAACTTGTGCTCCATGTCCCTGAACTTTTATCACCCCCTAACTCTGCTAAAGTCAGAGGTAAAAGCCTAGTGAGATCAACCTGACGGTTTCCTATGTCATGCTCAGGTTCCCCAACAATAGAAGCATAAATCAAGAAACGTTTAGGCTCGTACTTGACAGAGTGACTAGACATGGCGCGGCCAACATAAATAGAACATCCATGTGTCAAAGTCTCTTCAAACTCTGCAGCACCATGGAAAACCCTTGAAGGGCGCGTCTGCAAAATGCTGCTTTTCCTTTTCCAGTGCACACATAAATTAGTGCCATCCAAACTCAAAGGGAGACCCTCAACTGAGTGAACATGAAGGTTAAAGCAACATTTGAACTTGTGATCACCCATACGGGTCAAAGCTTTCAAGGGCTTCTTCCAATTCCATGCTGAAGACAACTTTTTGTCCTTGGCAAACAGATCTTCCTTTAGAAATCTTGGGGTTAAGGTAACTTGAGGTTGTGACAAACGCGCTTTTCCAGCAGACTTGGATCTATTATGAACTGCTGTGGAGAAAGAAGGCCTAGAAGGGGTGTTGTTCAAATAAAGAGCTTTGCTTATTTCTTGAATGTCTTGCAGTAGTAGCTGACCATTATTCCAATTAGTTTCTCCATCACCATTACCATATTGGTTTCCACTCTCAAAATTGGGTTTCATCATCATGTTTTGGCATTGGAAATTGAACAACAGAAGGGAAAAACAACCCAACTAATTTTATCTACTCATCTATCCATTCAGGAGTTATCTGTCATCTTAAAACAAATCAGATAAATTAAAATCATGAACTAACAGTAAAGAGGGGAGGGGGGGGGAAGAAAAGCATCATCGTACTCATCACTCATCACCATCTTCCTCCTATAATAAGTTCAGTTCCTATGTTAATAGGTCAAAATACAGCAAGCATGAATTTTGAGAAAACCCAGTTCCTATTAAGTAAGAAAAGTTTCAAAATTTACATGATTGTCGTAAGATTGATGAAGAAGCAACAAAGAAAGCAGAGGAAAGTAACATTTGGAAACGAAATGACTCACTGGTAAACGAAATGGGGTTGTGCTTCCGGAAATGCGCCTTATGTCTGAAATTTGAGGAAATCAAGGAGAAAATATAGTTGATGAAACAAGGATTGTGATTTCTGGCAAAATAGAGTGATTTGACTTGTCGTTAGTTATGCTTCGCTTCTTTCATACCCGCTACGACGGTGGGGTTGGTGATCCTTCTTATAATTTTTTAATTAAAATTTAATATTTTAATAAATTAAAATTTGAATTACTTGAAATCTTTTTTCACGTTCTCTTAACTTATGTGTAAATTTAATTTTCTTAATTATTCACGATTATTTTTATTTTTTAATTATTTAAAATAAGGTTTTCACGTTAAAATTTAATTAATAATTAATAAAATATGATATATTATTAATTAATACAACTTAAAAATATTTAAATAAAAATAATATGTATAAAATATAACAATTTTTATTTAATTATTTTATATTTTTATTTATAAATTTATATAAATCAATGATATATTGTAATTTTATTATTTTTTATCAGTTAATAGATAAAATTTTGAATTAAAAAATAATATAAATAATTAATATACTCTAGAGATTAAATATAAAATAATTAAAATTAGAGTAACTTAAAAAAATTACGTGTAAATCAAACTATAAGACATAAGAGTACTACTATGCCTAAAAATTTTAAGGATCGGCGAGTATCTCTATTATGAGCTCCCCTAAAATGCAAGTTATATATATAAAGTTAGATATAAACTAATAATTAAAAAGTATTTAAAAACTATTTTATCGGTAATAAAAAATTAAAATATAAGAAACACTCTTTTAATTTTGACAATTTTCACAAATCAAGTTAGCTAATTAAAACTTATATTAATGATAATTTATAAATATTTCATTATATTTAATATTAATTAAATAAATTTAAATGTTACTGCAGTGATTAAAATATGATTTCAACCTTTTTTGGGCCAATTTTCGGAGTTTCCTCAGTCCTCACCAAATTCTGTGGTTTGATGAATGAATGATAGCGGCACCTTTCTTCAATTCGTAGTGTGTCAAATGTGGCTTTAAACAAAGTCTTTTTTTAATTGTTTTGTTTAATTGGCAGAGTATGATTAACGAAGCGAAAAGCTTTTCAAACTATTTTAAAACAATTTCTTTACGAAATGATGATGTTACATCTAATGATCTAACTAAATCCATAAACGTAGTTATATAAATACTTTACAAAAAAAATTTTAATTAGTTGTTGGTGTAAAATTTTGAGACTATTATTTAATTATGTGTTATTTGCTTTATTAAGATGTTAATTATGACAATAACTATGTTATTGAACGATGTGGCATTTTTATTAAAACTGTGATAATATTTATTTTGATTTTATTCTGCTCAAAAATGTTTTGTGTGAGAGGGTAACTTTCGGAAATATAAGACAATGTAGCACTACACTTGAATTTAAAAAGAAAATACTAAACTCAGTAAAATATAATTTTGTAAAACTTCATATAAATAGATTAAAAATAAATAAATTTATCTATTCAAGTTTCAAGATAAGAGAATAAATGAGTATTATATATTTTGTCAATTTTTTATTTTTATTTTTTTATAATTGAAGAAGTTTTAACTAAAAGAATAAAACTAATATACTGATATATGTGAACCTTTTAATGAAATTTTTTTTCTTGTCAATTAAATGTTACTTTAAAATATTGTAAAAAAAAGTCTATAAATAATTAGATCAAGAAGAAAAAATTATAAATAATCTAGCAGATATATTTTTTTATAAAACCAAATAAGAGTGATGAACCAGAGGTTTGTTTTATGATGTCTAGACTTTGTTCCTTTTCTTGCATTTCTCTTCGCTTTAGCTATAGCTCATCTTCCTCCTCTCTCTCAAAAAATATATTACTCTATGATAGGAGAAACAGTTTCCTGAAATCACACCAAAATATAATCTTTTTGACGAAGAAGTTCGTTTTGAAGAGATCAATCAAAGTATGAATGACTGGATTATTCCAGAAATTTCTCATGATACATTATATGTTCTTGAAGAACAAACTAAAAGAAGCAGTTTTGATTACATTATCAAGACTGTTGAAAACAACATTTCCCTATGACAAGATATAGGAGACTAATGGGGAAGTAGGAATATAATTATGGATCGTTTATAACTATGTTCATTTTGATCTGGACTTTAAGTTTACTGTACAGTTCTTTATTTTTATGAGATACCTTTACTGGAAGCACAACATTTCTTAGTTCTTTTGAATAGGGCTACAACAGTAAAACTTGTATGGTTATAGGACAATAAGGCTGATTCAACAATGCTGTATTCAAAAGAAAATGAAGAACATAAAAGGCTAGTGGCTATAGTAAAGATGTTTCTTTTTCTGTAAAAAAAAAGTCCACAAATAACCAGATCTAGAAGAAAAAGTTATAAATGATCTAGCAGATATATTTTTATAAAATCAAATGAGGGTGATGAACCAGAGATTTATTTTATGATTTAGACTTCTTCGTTCCTTTTCTCGCATCTCTCTTCGCTCTAGCTCATCTTCCTCCTCTCCCTTAAAAAATTATATTACTTCATGATCAGGAGAAACAATCTCCTAAAATTAGATCAAAACATAATCTCTTTGACGAAGAAGTTCGCTTTGAAGAGATCAACCAAAGTATGGATGATTGGACTATTTCAGAAATTTCTTAGGATACATTATATGTTCATGAAGAACAAACTAAAAGAAACAATTATGATTACATTATCAAGACTATTGAAAACAACATTCCCCTAGGACAAGATATAGGAGAAGAATTTCATCTCCTGTCAAAACACTCTGTCAATAAACACCAAAGAAAATATAAATACTTCCACATAGGATGTGTTCAAGTTGCCATCAAACCTTTAATAGATATAGGTATAGATGCATCAATCCTAATATGTCTTAGAGATTTAAGACACAATAAGTTTGAAGATTCCCTAATAGGAATAGTAGAAACTAGCCTTGGTCAAGGTCTGATCTATTTCAACTGTTATCTCAACAAGACAGTGAGTCTTATGGATAGAAATATTATAGACTCCTATTATAGACTCTTTGTTTCTTAACATTCGCTTTCATGGTTTAGACATGAAAGATGGATCTACTCCCGCAGCCTCAATATACAGGATTCAATATAAAGTCATGAACTCTTATGCATCTAGAGTCTTTCTCAAACCTCAGAAAGATGAACCTACTTTGTTTATCATGGATATGACAAAGGCTAATGTCTCTTTTCTTAGAGTCATCAAGTGGGATGAGGTTACTCTCGTAGAGAAATGGGTGATGGACAAGGCTACACCTTTCGTTCCTAGACCTGCTCCTCATACTCAAGAAATTCTTTAAGACAATTCTAAAAAAATAGAAATAACTTTCAATAGAAGAAACTTCTTTTCCTCTAGAAATGAAGCCTTAAGTAGGCAATTTGATTTTGTATCTGTGAGGAGATCATTCTCTTCCAGATCTCAAACTTTTAGATCTGAAATACTCAGATCTGTATCTCATATTCCTTCTCAAATAAACCTACAAGGTTTAGATACTTCTTTTAGTATTCCTAGAACAGTTTACCAAAACTTTGAAAAGGAAGAAGAAAATCAAAGTATCCAATCTCCAACTTATTCCTCCCTTAATGAGTCTTATGATATTATCTCGTAAGTTTATTATTGATAAGGAAACCTTTAGGGAAGATTTCTATTCTGAGGATTAGAAATATCAGAAAGAGTGATTTTTTCATAATTACAAAGTTAAAAATAGATATGATATCTAAGAGGAATTTTATAAATCTCTCAAAAAAGTTGAACAAAGCATTCCATTCTTTGATTGGTTTCATGCAAGAACAATCTAGATTATCTTTGGCAAATTGATATTATTAATAATTCTTATATTAACATTATCTCCTAGCAGATCAAAGATGGACAAATAGTTCAGAGTGTATTGCCTCCTACAACCCAATACCTATTGCCAAAATTGAAAGACAATAGTGGCAATCTAGTAATGACAACGCTATTCAAAACCAAAAATCTTGCCTCATGGAACAGGTTAATTATACCAATAAATATCTTCAAGTTTTAGGAGAAAAAGTTTCAACTGTAAAACAAAAGGAGGAAGAAACATCTTCTTCCCAGATTCAACTAGAAAAATCGCTTTTCAAACATTTTAAGATTAGTGCCAAAGGAAAATAGAAAACTTAGAGCTTAGACAAAAAGAAAAGCCAAAATATTTAGAAGAATCAGGTAATCAAAATGAGTTATTAAGTAAAATTAATAGTATGCTTACGACCGTTTCTGATACACCTCAAACTTTAGAAGAGTCTAGTGCTAGACCTAAAACTAGATCCCTATCCAAAACTGTCACTGCCATCAACAAAACTAATTCATAATCACCTCCTGAAACAAATTTTGTTTCTAATTTAGAAGTCAATCCGATTTTTACTAACAACAAAAATTGAAAATCCCTTTCTAAGCTTTATTACAACAAAACTACTGCTCCTGATCTCGTTTTAGAAGAAAACAATGAGCATAGTTTCTAAAGTTTTAATGTCAATAACATCTATGAATGAAACATAGATAATAAATTAGAGTATAATATAATTACTACTATGCACCACATGCCTATAGTAGCCACTGCCTACCTAACTTCTCATGAGTGCTCCGATGATACAATTGTTAATATTTTTGTTGTTGGTTTTTCTGGCCAACTCAAAGAATGGTGGGATAATTATCTCACTGATAAACATAAAGAGAGAATACTCTCTACTATTAAGACTAATACTAAGAGACAAGCCATTATTGATAATGATGAACAACTCCTTGATGTTGTTTATTCTGTATACTATAGCACAATATTTCCTATGAGACCCATCTTTATAGCGTGATAGGTCTGCTGAATTATTATCCAGTCTTAAATATAGAACCTTAGATGATTTTAGATGGTATAAAGATACCTTTTTGTCTAGGGTTTATACTAGAGAAGACAACCAACAATCTTTTTGGAAAGAAAAATACTTAGCTGGTCTTTCCAAATCTTTTGGAGATTTAGTTAGAAATAAACTCTGAAGTCATTTTGCCAATGGAGAAATCCTTTATGATAGTCTCAGTTATGGACAACTTAATGCTGTCATTACAAAAATAGTTTTAA